TCGGTCATGCATACCACTAACCCGTCCACTTCTTTGTGGAATGCACCTGCGGCTGGGCGTACTGGTAGTGGGCGTGGGCGTGATGCTGGGCGTGGTGGTAGGCGAGGTGGTGGGGCTGACGGGGGTAGTGGGCGCCCTGGCCGGCTGGCATGAGCACGGGCGGCGGGTGGACGCTGGCGGAGTGGGCGCCGGGGGGAGGCACGCGGCCGCCCGGGTGGTGGACGGCCGCGTGGTGGTTGTAGGCCTGGTAGGGGGGGGCGAGGTGGGGGTGGCCGGAGTGCCGCATCGGGGGCGGGTGGGCGGCGGAGGGGGGGTAGGGGGCGCCGCGGGACGACATCAGTGCCGGCGAAGTGTGGGCGCCGTGGGAAGGCACTCGTTCACGGGACGTATAGTGCAGGTCCCTCGAGGAGGCGGGATGGGGCACTGGGGGGGCAGGGTGGTGGATCGAGGGGGCGTGAGGGACGGAGGGCACTGGGTGAGGGGCCGGGGGGGCGGGGCGATGGGATGGGGGGACAGAATGGGGAGCTGGTGGGGCGGAGTGAGGACCTGAAGGGGTGGAATGGGGAGCTGATGGGGCGGAGTGAGGACCTGAAGGGGTGGAATGGGGAGCTGATGGGGCGAAGTGAGGGACGGACGCGGCAGAGTGAGGGACCACATGGGCAGAATACGGGGACGGGGAGGAGGGATGCGGGGCCGAAGAGACAGAGTGAGGGACCGGAGACTGGGCAACGGAAGGCACTGAAGGAGCAGAATAAGGGACTGAAGTGACAGGCTGAGGGACGACCGTGCGAGAGGCAGAGTGTCGCTTGTCGTCCTGATAAGCGTCTGGTGTGACCGTCGCTGAGGCAGACCTCTGGAGGTGGTGCATGTGTTGGGCCGCTGAGTAGAGGGCGGGCGAGTGCAAGGCCTGCGTTGTGGTGGGAAGCGAGTGTGGCATTGTTGTGTACGTTGTTGATACCTGTGCGGCAGTTGTGTGATTTGGATATGCCATTGGAGCACTTGTGTGGGTAGAGCTCACGTGTGGGGCTGTTGTGGAACCGGTAGATGCATTCGTTACCCTTGCATCGTTAGAATGGATGTGCGTGACGTTTGTCAGGGTGGTAGATACATGCGGGGTTGTTGGGTCTGCGTTAGATGTATACAAAGTTGCCGGGGAACTGGTAGAAACGTGTACAGCTGTTGTGTGGACAGGATATGTATGTGGGGCCATTGTGTGAGAAGGCACGTGCTGAGTCTTTGCATTAGCGGCAGTTGTGTGGGGAAACGCTGCATGGGATGTGGGGACACGTGGACTCGTCTGGGCAGGGGGTGTGTGTTGGAATGGAGCACTGGCACTGTATGCGTGAGATGTAGGCGCTGCTAACGGCGAAGTGACCGGGACTGGAGTCGGCGGCACAGAGCTTTGGGGAACTGGGGGCCGCAACGCACTGTTCAGGGCGACTTCCTCCTTTGGATTTTCAGCGCCTGCCGTCACCGTGGATGGCGCTGAGCTTTGGGGACTTCTAGTGCTGGGCGGCATAGGGGAATGGGGACTCGTCGTGGGCGGCGCCGCTGTGTGGGCGGGAGGCATGGGGAGGCTGGGGCGGGGAAGGGCATGGGGGACGGGTGCGGTTCTCGGACCCTGAGGGCCGTCGCTGGAGGAGGTGAAGACGTCGTCCTCGAGAGGGTCGTCCTGCATGGCAGAGGCGGTGCTGGAGGAACGGGCGCCGCCGTTGAGGCCTTCGTTGCCTGAGGGCATGCGGCTGCGTTAGTTATTATAGTGAACATATCTATCTGTCTATCTATCTAAGTGCGTGTGTATGTGTATGATTATATATATGTATGTGTATGATTTTATATATATATATATATATATATATATATATATATATATATATATATATATATATATATATTTGTGTGTGTGTGTGTGTACACATATATCTATCTATATTTAGATAGACAGATGCATATTTGTATACATACACAGACATACACATACACATACACATGCATATCTACCTATCTATCTATATAACTGTCTATCTAGAAACACGCACATAGATATATATACATATATAAATATATATTATCATCATCATCATATATATACATAGTATACATATATGTATATACATACACACACATAATGTTTAATGGCATAAAGTAATTTAGTTTACTCTTCATTTCCAGCATAAGAGCTAGTACCACACGAACAAGAGCCGAATCCCTTACCGCCCGTGGACACCTTGATCAGCTGGTCCAGGATCTGCTCCGGCGAGCACGAGTCCCAGCCCCAGTCCGCTATGGTGCTGCCCGGCATGTACCGCTTAACCATGGTTAGAAAGTCTTCTCTGAGTCTCTCCCGAAGACAAGGATGTTCGGACGGCTTGGCTCCCCCTTGCCTGACGAGGTACGCTAACACCTGCTGTGGGGACCTCGTCGCCTTGGGCAACGTGGCTTCGGGAACGGACACGAGGTCATCCAGCACGAATCTCAGGCGCTCAACGAAAACTTCGTCGTTGTCGTGGTTATCCTCCGTGGGTATTTTCGCTCTCCCGTTCATCTCCAGGTTGTCGGGGGGTGCGAGGTTCCTGTTCGGAGGGGGGTTTGAGACGGTTATTTGAGTGGCGGCGGGGAGCGATGCTGGTCTCATGGCCGATGTGAGGCTCGCAGAGGGACCTACTGCTCCAGGCGGAGGCTCAGAAGCTGATCTGCCTTGACTCACGTAGTAGGAGCTGTAGAGGCTATTATATTGGTCCAAAACGCGTAAATCACTGGGTAAACTTCGTTGATGAAGTCTTTCTTCCTTCTCTGGATGAGGGCCACCGTTTTCCGCTTGTCGTTTCGAAGCAGCAACTCTGTCCTGTTTCATGTCAAGGGTTTCGTCTTTATTGCCGGTTAGTTCCGATGCTGGAGCCGATTTTGGCGCGTTTTCTTTGGAGTTCTCTTGGGGCTCTGGCGGTTTGCTGTTCAGTTCCGTGGAGTCTTCTGATGTCTTCCGCAGTTCAGCATGAGCCTGTGTAATTCCTGCTTTATCTGAATCACTGTATAACCGCTTAGCAGACTCGTCAGATTTTTCTGGATAGACAAAAACGTCCTTGGAGTTCTCTCGCTTCGCAGCTGCGTTGTGGTGTGCTGGAGGCGGCGCCGCTGCCTCCGTCACAGTTAAGCCCGATGGAAACTGGAGACCACCGTTGCCCTGAGAAGCTTCCTGAATTTCGTCGTCGTCAGGATTATTAATCCGAGCATATTTTTCGGCCGGAGCTCCTTTTTCAGACGCCTTGCGGGTAACGGGCGTGACCGTGGCGGGGCTTATGGGCGTTGCCGCCTGGTGCTTCTGAGGAGGCCCTGGACTGGACGGAACTGGGTTCGCTTCGCTTCCGATCTTCCTCTCCTTCTCCTGGTTGGCTGGGAGCCTCAGCGGAATGAGCTCGACGCACGGCTTCGGTTCCCTCAGTCTCTGCGGCGGAATGAACTCGCCCGCCTTGTCCTGCCCGTCGGGATACCGCTTCGCCGCCCACGAGCCTTCCTGGGGGCTGGCGTACGGCGAGCGGACGGGCTCTGGAGGCCGAGGCCGGGCTTCGGGCGAGTGCTGAGGGGGGGGAGTCGCCTGTTCGTGCCACGGACCTGACTCTCGACTCATCTCGGCGCGACCGTAAGGGTGCTTGTTGTATCTGTCCACCACGCGCGGAGGCCCGTAGTGGGGATTCCCCGGATGGGCGTGGGGACTGACGGGGGCGTAGGGAGCCTCCTTCGGGGAGTGCGCTGACCCGGGGGGCGGCGTGTACATCTCGTAGGGGTGCGGCCGCTCTAGCTTGGGTCGCGGAGGCCCCGGGCGGCTGCCGTCTGCGGGCACGAAGGGGGCGGGCCCCACCGGCGCCACGATGGCAACTTCGTGGTGGTTGATGGGCACCCTGTAGCGCACCTCCTGCCCGGGCGCCATGTGCCTCGCCTCGGGCACCACGCGCGGCGCATGGCGGTAGTCCGGCGGAGGGAGCCTGGGGTCGTGCTGCAGCGCCGGCGGGGACGGGTGGCGCGGGGCGTGGTGCATGGCGGCGGGCGGCGGCGCGCGGGGGTCGTGCTGCCCGGCCGGGGGGCGCGGGAGGCGCGGGTCATGATGCATGACGGGGTGGTGCGGGGGAGGGACCCGCTCTGACACCAGGATGGTCCTGGGCGGCGGGACGCCCCGCGGGTAGGCCACGTACTGGTACCTGGGCTGCGGCGGGCCCGGGTGGCAGTGGCGCGGGTCGGCATGCACGGGGACGCGGCGCGGCAGCGGGAAGGGCGGCTCGTGGAAGCGGGGAGGAAACTGGTGGTACTGCACGCGGGCCTCGGCTATCGGGTAGGATCCGTTGACGGCGGCCGGGTGGGGCATCCCGGGGTGGAGGCGCACCTCAGGCTGCCTCAGCCTCACGTCGGCGGGCACGCCAGGGTAGGGCGGGCGGAGTCCCTGCACGTAGTGGACACCCTCCGCGTGCGGCTGCGGCGGCAGCTGGGAGCCCTGCTGCGGCGGCGGGAGCGGGTCCTCCACCACGCTCTCGGCGAAGTCGGAGTCGATGCCCACGGCGAAGCACGCCTTCGCCAGGATGTCCTGGGGGTCACTGAGCGGCTTGGCGGGAGCTGAGGGCTCCTGCGCGTCTGCGGCCTCCGAGGCCTCCAGCAGGCGGCGCTTCTTGGGCACGGGCTCGGCGTCCCGGCGCTCGCTGGTGGCGCTTGGAGGGGCGTCTGGCTGCGCCTCGGGAGGGCCCGGGGGCGACTGCGGAGGGAGGGGAGCCCTGGCGGCTGGCGGCGCTGGGTGCAGCTCTGTTGCAGGTGGCTGCGCGGGGGCCGACTGGGCGACCGGAGACTGAAGCGCAGGCGGCTGGTCAACAGATGTGGAAGGCGTCGTAGGAGTGGCGGGAGTCGTCGCAGCGTCTGCCATTGCATGCACAGACGCGCTGGAGTCGGAGGGCTGGGCCAGCAGCTCGCGGGGGTCACGCAGCTTGAGGCGAGAGAAGCTCATGCCGGCCACGCGCACGCTGCGGAGAGGGAGGCGGTTAGGGGGCACTTAGGGCGTGAAAATAAAGTAGACATGAACACAATATAGAAGTGAGCAACGCAGAGAAAAGAGTGAAATACAGAAGATTAGTACAGCAAAGAAATGAGTGAAATTGGGAAATGAGTAAAATAATAGAGTCAAGCAGAGAAGTGAGTAAAAGAAGTGAATAAATATGGAAGGGAATAAAACAGAGAAGAACAATGCACAGACACGCCCAGCCAGTTGCGAAGAGGGACGTGACAAGAGAAATGTAAACAAAGGAATAAAATATGTTCATATCTACATCAAATAAATTCAAGAACAGAGAATTCAGTCATTTAGAAACGTTGGCATATTTAAAAGTGGACATGGAAAATTATATTCACTAATGTAAATATTACTCACATGTACACAGACAGGCAGCAAGAGAGAGAGAGAGAGAGAGAGAGAGAGAGAGAGAGAGAGAGAGAGAGAGAGAGAGAGAGAGAGAGAGAGAGAGAGAGAGAGAGAGAGAGAGAGAGAGAGAGCATGCGACTGAGAAAAAATAAATGTATACAATGAGTACATATACAACACACACACACACACACACACACACACACACACACACACACACACACACACACACACACACACACACACACACACACACACACACACATATATATATATATATATATATATATATATATATATATATATATATATATATAGACGTATTCACACAAAGATATAGATATAGATAGAAATGCAAATACATGAACACAGTCAAATAGACACAGATGTAGACACGAGATATGACACACACGATGTGTACGCAAACAACACTTCATTTTTAGGATGCCTGGGGATTGGTAAAAAATTCCTTGATTTATTGATCCAGATATTGCACATAACCGCTGCTTTGGATACGGACTATGATACATGTTAAGTATTTACTGAAAAGAGTTGTTGAGCCATAAAAGTGTTTTGGCCTTTGCAATAGCTCTTTTGCCTTGGATAAATACGATGCAGGGAAGTGAGAAGACATCTTAAGAACACCTTTGTGCATAGGAATCTGGCAAGACAAAATTTATGGGCTGAGATCTGATAAATCTTCGGGAAATTATGAATGTCGTGGTTTCTAGTTTATCACTCTCTCTCTCTTTCCTCCTTCTTTTTTCTCTGTCTTTCTTTCTTTCGTTCTCTCTTTCTGTATTTTATGTTTTTGTCTGAGTTTCTGCTTGTCTTTCTTTCTTTCTGTCTGTTTCTTTTTTCTCTCTTTCTTTTTTTCTTTTTGTCTGTCTGTCTGTCTGTCTATTTCTTTCTTTCTTTCTTTCTTTCTTTCTTTCGTCTCTTCATCTGTCTGTCTGTTTCTTTCTTTCATACATGTGTTTATTAAACGAAGAACGATTTCTCGGGCCTCAGAGTATATTTTTTTCATGAGGGTGTGAGACGGAGATTTAGAAACAGAAACAAAATGATAAAAGGGAAGAATGAAAAAGGAAAAAAAGAGCCTACACTTTTCTTCTCTCTGTCTTTTTTTTTTTTTTACTTAATTCTTCTTCTCACTTTTTTCCTATTCTCCGTCTGTCACCCTCTGTATGTTTGTCATTCTCTGTATTTATCTCTTTTCTCCTCGGCTCCCTCCCTCCTTCCCTCACTCTCCTTATCTCCCTCACTCCTTCCCTCTCTCTCTCTCAATCCATCTCTCTCCCTCTCCCTCACTCCTTCCCTCTCCTTTCCTCCCTCTCCCTCCCTCCTTCCTTCTCCCTCCCTCCCTCCTTTCCTTCCCTCTCCCTCCCTCCTTTCCTTCCCTCTCCCTCCCTCCTAACCTTCCTCCCTCCCTCCCTCCTTCCTTCTTTCTCCCTCTCTCCTTCCCTCTCCCTCCCTCCTAACCTTCCTCCCTCCCTCCCTCCTTCCTTCTTTCTCCCTCTCTCCTTCCCTCTCCCTCCCTCCTTCCTTCTTTCTCCCTCCCTCCCTCCCTCTTTCCCTCTCCCTCCCTCCTTCCCTCCTTCATTCTCCCTCTCCCTCCCTCCCTCCTTTCCTTCCCTCTCCCTCCCTCCCTCCCTCCCTCTTTCCCTCTCCCTCCCTCCTTCCCTCCTTCATTCTCCCTCTCCCTCCCTCCCTCCTTTCCTTCCCTCTCCGTCCCTCCCTCCCTCCTTCCCTCCTTCATTCTCACTCTCCCTCCCTCCTTCCTTCTTTCTCCCTCTCTCTCCCTCCCTCCCTCCCTCCTTGCCTTCCCTCTCCCTCCCTCCCTCCCTCCTTCCCTCCTCCCTTCCCCCTCTGCCGCCGCTTCTCGCAGGAGGAAGGGGAAGCGAAAGGTACACCTGTTGACCATTATAGTACGAGTACACATAATTACACGCTTGTGAGGGTCCGTCAGTAGCGTTTTCCCCCGCGAGGTTACTGGCCAGTGTGGGGGAGTGAGACGTGGTTGGCGGGAGAGGGGGCGGAGGGGAAAAGAGGGGAGAGGGGAAGAAGTGGGGGAAGGAGAGAGGGAGAAGGAGAAGAAGGGGAAGGAGAGAGGGGGAGGGGAAAAAAGGGTAAGGAGAGAGTGGGAGGGGGGAAAGAGGGGAAGGAGAGAGGGGGAGGAGAAAAGAGGGAAAGGAGAGAGTGGGAGGGGGGAAAGAGGGGAAGGGGAGAAGAGGGGAAGGAGAGAGGGGGAGGAAATAGGGAGAGAAGGGGAGGGGAAAAGAGGAGGAGGGGGAGAGGAGGGGGAGAGGAGGGGGAGGTCAAGTGACCTGTTCCCGTGATCTCCCTCGTGTCACATACCAGAAAAGCCATGTGTTCCTTATCCCACAGTAATTCCACTGTCCTCAGCCGACTCCAGCAGGTCTACACCCGTGAAAATGACAAATGACCTTAGAACACGCTAATTCAACCCTTATTGCTTGTGAACATTTCCCATGCTGTTATTCCGTTGTCTATGTGCATAACAATGTGTTGTTTATACTTAAAATGTTCGTTAGAAAATGCTTATTCTAATTTACTATATATGTTACTGTTAACATTGTCGATATTCAAATGCTTTTATGTTTTGTGTTTACTCAGCATTTTCGTTTCCTTATCGCGAAGCTTTTTAGTCTTGTAAACACCATAGCTCTTCTTACATACATCTGTGTATATAAGGTACCCTTGTTCGTTCGCCACGAAACCATCATGTGATCATATGTATCGGAATTTATATTCATTCAAATTCTTTCATGTTTTCCATTTTGGAATGTTCCAAAACGAAGTTTGCTGATAGAAATTTCTGAGCAGTCCAGACAGACCGCTCGCCACAGCGGGCCGGGCAGGTCGCCCCACTCTTCCCTGAGCGCCCCTGCCTTGCCCGTCCTCTGTATCCCACCTACGACGCTACCGCAGAAATAAAAACTTGAAACTGTAACAACTTTAACTCAACTCCAATTCACTTCAAGAAACAATTGGCAGTACCATACTGGAAAGAGAGGGAGGATACAACAACACAACAGGAAAGAAGGTATAGTGACCTGTTCTCATGATCTCTCTCGCCTCACATACCAGAAAACCCATATGTTTATTATCTTACATTAACTCCACTTTCCTCAGCCGACTCCAACAGGTCTACAGCCGTGACAATGACGAATAGACCTTAGAACACGCTAAACTAGCCCTTATTTCCCGCAAGCAATCCACATGTTGTTATTCTAATATCTTTATCATTAATCATGTCATTTTTATACTCAAAATGTTCGCTAGAAAATACTTATTCTGAAGCACTAATTACCTTTCCGCTATTACTATCGATATTCAAATGTCTTTATATTTTACGAATATTCCAGCTACCAAACCCCCGCATGAAAATGAAACTGCGACGACTTTTAACATCAAGCACAAAACCAGCAGTACTATTCAAGTGGGAGAGGGGGAGAGGAGGGGGAAAGAGGAGGTAGGGGTAAAGCGGACGGGAAGAGGATGGGGAGAGGAGAGAGGAAAAAAGAGGAGGGGTAAAGAGGGTGAAGAGAGAGAGAGAGAGAGAGAGAGAGAGAGAGAGAGAGAGAGAGAGAGAGAGAGAGAGAGAGAGAGAGAGAGAGAGAGAGAGAGAGAGAGAGAGAGAGAGAGAGAGAGAGAGAGAGAGAGAAGAGAGAGAGAGAGAGAGAGAGAGAGAGAGAGAGAGAGAGAGAGAGAGTCGAGAAGAAGTCGAGGGGGAAGAGAGGAGACAAAAAGAGGAAGAAATGAGAGGGAGAGGCGAGTGAGGGACCCTTTCCCATGCCCTTTCCCCTCGCATACCTGGAAAGCCATCTGCTCCAAGTCTGACAACATGCCGACTGTGCTCCGCCGACGCCAACACGTCTAAAACCTGAATACCCTTGACAATGACAAACGGACCTTAGAGCACGCCAATTCAGCCCTTCCTGCTCTCGAAGACTGATGTTATTCATCTAAACATATATATTTTTTCTCTGTTTTTAATAATGGCTTTTGTTTGTTGTAGATCTTTTTTTTTTTATCTTATTTATCTTATGTTTTTTAAATCTAACTAATTCCCTTGATCATATTCAAAATGTTCGTCGGGAAATCCTCAGTCCAGATCAACATAAATCTAATCATTATCATAAGCGACATCCATCCGACGACATCTACTTCATATATTTCATGAACACTCAACAATCCCATCTTCTTATCACGAACCTTTTTGGTCTTATAAACATCATAATTCTCTTGTCACCTCCTATGACCTCAAAGGATTCCCTCCCTTTGACCCTTGACCACGAAACCTCCGCGTGTTCCGTATACTTTCACACTTTCAATATGTAATGTTTTTTTTTTTTTTTTTTTTTTCGACGAAGTGTGTGGAGGGCATAGCAAGACGGGCATAGCAAGACGGGCATAGCAAGACGCGGGCATGGCAAGACGCACCCCCCCTTTCATTATGTATTTTTTTGTTTCTTTTTTTTTTTTTTTGACGAAGTGTGTGGAGGTAATGGAGTGGGATTTCTTGCTTCCGCGGGCATGACAACACACTCCCCCCCCCCCCTCCCACCCCCTACGTTCCTC